TTTGTGCTTTAATTTCCTTTTTTTGTGCCTCCTTTTCAAAATTTCAAATAATCTCCTATTCAAGTTGAGGAATGACATCTTTCTAAATTGGAAGAAGTCTGAGAAAATGAAGACTTTGCCTTCTATTGAAAGGATGACGAGAGTCCAAAGTCTAGTAGGCCTCCTTAGTATAAGGGCACACGATTCTTGTACTTTAGAATGTTCTCCTTTCTCAAAAATCTTTACATACTATGTGCCTTCCATTTTCTAATAAAAATATATGCTAAACTAAAAGATGCATGATATTTGTTTTCTACCTAAATTTTATCATTTTTTTTACTGAGGTTATGATGCATGATTTTTGCTATATATTTATTTTTTTTTGTTATTTTTTTTAAATAAACTATCCTATATGATACTTCGAGGTTTAAGTATATAGAAGGGAGTTAAATTTTTTATCATATTTTTTATTAATATCTATTCGTTTGTAATTCTTATCCATTTGAAATAATCAAACACAAACAAATGCAACACACATATGCTCAAACAAATGTACACCCGCGAACATCCACGTTTAAATCCTTAGTCGGTGGTCCCTGCAAGAAAAGTGCATTGTATAGGACAGTTCTAATCTCACTGGTCTTAAGGCCCCTAAGGTGCCCCCATTATACGGACCCAGTATCTCTGTCACCGTCACCTGGCAAACTCTAAGGTCTGTCACAGTATTTCGGGCTAGAGTAACCGGTTATCATCTTAAGTGTGATTTCCAACAAGGCTCGCAGGCTCCAAGGCCAAACTTGGGTCGGTCGTACATCAACCACTCCCTATGTTTAATACCCTCATGCTCCCGGGTGTAGGGGGAACTGTTGTGTGCAAAGGTTTGTGTACAATTTTTTTATTCAAATAGATGCAGAATTTAAATAGGCAAACAGATATTAAAGCCAAACAAATAAAGCAAACAAAGTAAAGGGGAAAAATATTTAAATTATAATTTTTATTTTATTAACTTCATCATTTATATGGGCCTAACCCTCTTAAAACGTCCCTAGCGGAGTCGCCATCTGTCGCAACATGAAAATTTCCGATCTCGCGACCTTTGGTTTAGACATCCTTTTAAAAGTCTCATTAATTAAGAAATGCCCAAACACCAGACTAATCCTTAATTAATGGTTTTGAAAATAGGTTCATGGAGTCGCCACCAATATTTTACTCAAAACATTGGAAAAAGAAAAGGTTTTTAAAGATCCAACAATGGCCTTGATAACCAGAATTGGGTTCGGGGTCGATTACATGCAAGGAAGGTGTTAAGCACCCCTACAACGCCCTCAATCGATACCCTATGATGAAGTTAACATGATAAGAATTATTAAATTAAATATTGAATACCCTTTATTAATATTTATTTACATATTTAAAATTTAAGTTATACGACTAACCCTAAAATATCTACATGATTGCGTTTGTGATAAATAAAAGATAGAGATAAAAATGAGAAATAAAAGATATAGAAGAAGATTGATTGAAATACCTCTTGAACGAGCTCTATTGAATCTTCAAATATGGAGAAGGTGCTTTATGGCAACCTTTCACACTATAATATGCCTCACAAATCTCAAGAAATATAATAGGAGGGAGAGAGAGAGAGAAATTTCGAGTTCAAAGGAGTCTCGGACGAAATTTTGTAGTCCATGAGAACTGTGCCCGAGATTTCTATTTATAGACATTAGATGTGGGCCGGAACGGCCCGTTCCGGATCTGAATGTTATATGTTTAAGTCTCAGAAGGGAAGACTATAAATTGAAGTCACATCCTTGGTCGAGAGATATCTTGGGTAGGAAGACTTGATTGGAGTCAATGTCATATCCTTGGCCGAGAGACATCTCGGGAGGGAAGACATATAAATTGGTAAAAGTCACATCCTTAGCTGAGAGACATCTCGGGAGGGAAGACTTGATTGAAGAAAAAGTCACATCCTTGGCCGAGAGATGTCTCGGGGGGGAAGACTTATATAAATTGAAGTCACATCCTTGGCCGAGAGATATCTCGGGTAGGAAGACTTGATTGGAGTCAATGTGACATCCTTGGCCGAGAGACATCTCGGGAGGGAAGACATATAAATTGGTAGAAGTCACATCCTTGGCCGAGAGACATCTCAGGAGGGAAGACTTGATTGAAGTCAAAGTCACATCCTTGGCCGAGAGACATCTTGGGAGGGAAGACATATAAATTGGTAAAAGTCACATCCTTGGCCGAGAGACATCTCGGGAGGGAAGACTTGATTTAAAAAGTTGAAGAATTTAGACAATTGTAAGTAACGGGATTTGTATTCATTGATTTGATGCCTCGTTAAAAACCTTGCCGGTCAAAAACCTCTTTTCACAATTTTTTAAGAGGAAAAAAGACCGGTTCAAGGAAAAGAGTGCATCGTATGACATTTATACATGTGCATGAGCCAAATCCTAACTATAATAAGTCTTCAGGTGGGTAGAATTCCATGTCCGAGGGATGACCTGGCTAGACAATTCTTCTAATTTGTACGCGCCGTTATTGAGAGCGTGTCAGACCCAGAATGGGCCGTCCCAATTTGCCGCCAACTTCCCTTCAATCGGGTTGCGCCGTGCTGAACCGATTACCCTCCAAACGAGATCACCTTCTTGGAAGTTCCTCCACTTCAACTTGGAGTTAAATCGCTGAGTCATTCTCTGTTTACATGCCTCGGCTACGATTTGTGCTTTCTCTCGGACTTCATCTAAGACATCCAACTCAGCTCAAATAGCGCCATCATTGGACTCTGCGTGAAAGTGCGTCCGTCGGAATGAAGGTTCGCCCACTTCGACCGGTATCATGGCATCCGTGTCGTACGCCAATCGGAACGGGGTCTCTTTTGTGGTTGATTGGGGCGTGCATCTATACGCCCAAAGGAATTCAGGGAGCTCTTCGGCCCAAGCTCCTTTGGCTGAGCCGAGCTGTTTCTTCAGTTTGGTAAGGATGACTTTGTTGGCTGCTTCGGCCTGTCCGTTGGACTGCGGGTGTTCTACCGACGTGAACCGGTGCCGAATGCCAAGGTTCTCGAGGAGAGTGTTGAACTTTTTATCTGTAAATTGAAGTCCGTTGTCCGAGATAAATGCGTGTGGAAGGCCGAACCGAGTGATGATGTTTTTCCATACGAACTTCTGGATATTCGTGGCATTGATAGTAGCAAGCGGCTCAGCCTCTATCCACTTAGTGAAATAATCAACTGCTACTATTAGGAACTCAACCTGCCCTTTTGCCATAGGAAACGGTCCTAGTATGTCTATGCCCCATAAAGCGAACGACCAAGGGGAGCTGACATTGTGCAATTCGGCGGCTGAGGAGTGGATGAGAGTCCCATGTTTTTGGCATTGAACACACTTTTTAAAAAATTCAGCACAGTCGGATTTCAGAGTTAGCCAGTAGTAGCCGGCTCTGAGTACCTTGGTGGCAAGTGTCCGTCCTCCCGAGTGGGATCCGCAGATACCTTCGTGTATCTCTCTGATGACATAATCGGCTTGTTGTGAGTCGAGGCACTTTAATAAGGGGGCAGAAAATCCCCTTCTGTATAGTTCTCCACTCACGACGGAGTACCGAGCGGCTTGCATCCTCAGCTTCTTGGCCTCAATCGAATCGTTCAGCTCCGAGCCGTTCACAATGAACTTCAAAATGTTAGTCATCCAGGATGTCGGAGCTTCGTCCACCAGCATGCATTCTTGTATGACACTTGGGGTGGGCAACTCCAGATGTATTGTCGACCGAGCTGTCCCGGTTTGCGACTACTTGCCAGCCGTGCCAACTGGTCGGCTCTCTCGTTATTCCCACGCGGTGTGTGCTTGACTTGTATTTCTTGGAATTGGTTGCTCATTCCTCGGAAGAGATGGTAGTACTTGAGCAGATTAGGATCTTTCACTTGAAAGTTGTCGTTTACTTGTTCGGTGACAACCTTTGAATCGGTCTAACATGTGATCTTTCTAACCTCCATCTCGGTTGCTAAACCTCATCCCAGCCAACAAAGCTTCATATTTGGCTTGGTTGTTCGACGCCCGGAAGCCGAAGCGCAGTGATTGTTCCAAGGTAATGCCAGATGGACTTTCCAAGATGATGCCGGCACCGCTGCCTTCATCGTTGGAGGAGCCGTCTACATGCATTGTCCAAGTGCTATCTTCAAAGTGGCCGATTGGTGATAGTTCATTGATGAAGTCGGCTAAGCTTTGTGATTTGATGGCTCCCCGGGGTTCGAAACGGATGTCAAACTTGGATAGTTCGATTGACCATGCCATCATGCGGCCGGCCAATTCTGGTTTATGCAGCACTTTGGAAATTGGGCAATCGGTTCAGACCACCACTGTGTGACTCTGGAAGTACTGCCAAAGGCGCTTACCAGCATATATGAGTCCCAACGCTACCTTTTCCAAGAGTTGGTATCGGCGCTCAGTATCTTGAAGCACTCGGCTTATGAAGTATATGGGTTGTTGTTGGCCGTCTCGGTTGGGGGTCGGCTTGGCCAGCACTGGTGGGGTGCCGAGCCGTTCCTTGAAGAGCCGGAAAGATGCTTCACACTCATTTGTCCATTGAAATCGATTTGCCTTTTTCAAAAGACCAAGAATCGGCTTGGAGGTCTCGGCCATACATGGTAGGAAATGAGACAACGTTGTTAGTCAGCCAGCTAACTTTTGAACCTCTTTCAAGTTTGACGGGCTTTTCATGTTGATAACAGCTTGACACTTGTCCGGGTTAGCCTTAATGCCTCGGCTTGAAAGCATAAAACCCAGGAACTTGCTGCCCGAGACGCCGAATACACACTTGTCAGGATTAAGTCTCATTTGGTGCTTCTGAAGTGCATGGAAAACTTCGGCCAGGTTGGCTACATGAGAGAGTGTGTCGGCCAATTTGACCACCATTTCATCGACATAAACTTCCATATTCTTCCCAATCTGGTCGCTGAAGATCTTGTCCATGAGCCGTTGATATGTGGCCCCGGCATTCTTCAGGCCGAAAGGCATCACTTAGTAACAGTAGTTGGCAGATTCCGTGACTAATGCCATTTTTTCCTCGTCTCGGGGGTGCATACAGATTTTATTATAACCCGAGTATGCATCCAGAAAGGTCAAGAACTTATGGCCGGTCGCGCCATCAACTAATCGGTCTATGTTTGGCAACAGATAGGCATCCTTGGGACATGCCTTGTTCAAGTCTGTGTAGTCTGTGCACATTCGCCACTTGCCGTTCGACTTTTTAACCATGACAACGTTGGCCAACCATGTTGTGTATTGGATTTCCCGAATGAAACCCGCTTCCAAGAGCTTGGATACCTTTTCTTCAACTGCCTTTTTCCTTTCTTCTCCCGTCTTTCTTTTTTGTTGGGCAACCGGTTTCGCCTCTCGGTACACTGAGAGTTTGTGGCACAAAAAGTTGGGGTCGATACCTGGCATATCAGTCAGCCGCCACACGAAGAGGTCTTTGTTTTTCCTAACGACTTGTCCGATTTTGTGCTTTTCTATCTCGTACAGGTTAGAGCCCAGGTAGGTCACGTGTAGGTCGGTCGACCCAATAATAATCGGTTGTCGCTCTTCAATCGGCTCGACCCTCTCATCCTGCTCCATTTGAGGGTCAAAGTCCACAATTGTGTCGAGTTCTTGCACTACTGTGTGTACACGCTTTACTCTGTGCGGCTCGGCCGTCTCGAGATGGGGCAGCCGAAGACTGGCAAAATAGCATTCTCTAGCCGCCTTCTGATCGGCGTGGATCGTGATGATCCGGCCTGATTTCGATGGGAATTTCATGGCTAAGTGTGGAGTTGACACGATCGCGCCCAGCCTGTTGAGGGAAGGCCTTCCGAGCAGAATATTGTATGACGTGTTGGCGTGTACGACCACATACTTGACTGGGATGTCTCGAGCTTCGGCTCCGTCAAAGTAGAAGCGGTGGATAACTTGATGTACCCTTTAGTTTGGACACGCTCACCAGAGAATCCGACCAAGGGCTCATTGTAGGGAATCAACTCAACCTCCGGGATGCCAAGTTGTTTAAAGGTGTTACAGTAAAGGATATCAGCCGAGCTTCCCTGATCGACCAACCTCTTCTGAACGATGCAGTTGTGAATCTCGACGCTGATAACCATGGGGTCGTCCTGATCAGGGTCGATACCTTTAAAGTCGGCTTCGGTGAAGGTGATGGCCGGCAATCTTTGTTGGGTGTGTTCAACCGAGTGCACAGCTCGGACAGCTCAGAGGTGTCTTTTTTGGGTTGAAGAGGTAGAACCGCCGCCTGCGAATCCACCGGTAATGGTGTTGATGACTCTCCGGGGCTGGGGTGTCGGCTCGTCTTCCTTTCGGCCCCTCGACCGGCTCCGTTCCCTGTATGGACGTCTGTCAGACTTGTCTCGGTCAGGCTGATCGCGACAATGTCAGTGGTCGTCGTATCGGGGAGAAAGGGGTCGGTCGACGAAACATTGGAGTTGTCCCTGTTTGATTAAATCTTCAATTTTATCTTTCAAAGTTGCGCATCCCTCGGTCGAGTGGCCGCGGTTTCGGTGATACTTGCAAAATTTGGTTGTGTTGGCGCACGGAGGGGTTGAGGCTCTCTTCGGCACTGCCAGGACCTCCGACACAAGTGCCTGGTCCAAGACAGCCGATCGGCTAGCGTTCAGTGGAGGGTAATGAGAATATCTTGGCCCGCGAGTAGGTTTTTCTCGGGGTACGAGATCCTTGGGACGGCCGCAGTAAGAGTTTTCGGCTAGCTTCTCTACCTTGGTTGCTACCTCGGCCCTGGCTTAATTGCGAAACTCTGCGAGTTCTTCCATTTGCATGTACTTGTCGGCTCGCCGACGCAAGTTATCTATGTCAGACGGGGGTTTCTTACAGATATTGTTAGCAAATGGTCCCGGCTTCAAAGCAGTGGTCAGATGGTGGAGGGCGACGGCTGGGTTCAGGTCTCGTATCTCCAATGCCGCTTTGTTGAATCGGCTCATGAAGGTCCGAAGGGATTCCTTCTTCTCTTGTCTTATGCTCACCAACACAAGGGAGGTTAGTTGATGAGGCCGGCTGGTGGCGAACTGGATGGTGAATTGGGAGGCTAGGGTGTTAAAAGAGTCGGCCGAATTGGCCGGGAGACGAGTGAACCAACTCAATGCTCTTCCCTTCAAAGATGTTGGAAAAATGCGACATAGGGCGGTGTCGTCGGTGGTGCTGAGGGTGACCTGGGTGAGGAAAATTTCGATATGCTCGTCGGGGTCAGTGGTTCCGTCATACTTGTCTAACGGGAGGGACTTCCAGTGGTCGAGGAGAGAGGATTGCATGATGTTTGGGGTGAAAGGGTGTCGATGTGCTCCGGTCGGCGTAACATACGCGGGTCGACTAGTTACGTGAGCAGTCGATGCGTGGTTTCCCGGGGCGACGGCAGAAGTGTGAGGGAGAGAAGTATAATGTCCGAGCGAGTGGAACGACCCCTGGGTGTGGGTCGGCTTGGAGGGTTTCCACGTGGGATCTCGGTTTTGATTTTTCAGGGTAGCATTCTCTTCCCACAAGGCGGCCATTTCGCGAGCATCTTTCTCTCGTTGTTACCTCATGGCGGCCATTTCCTCCTTCATCTACCTTACCACCTCGGCCATGTTCGTCTCGTCAACTGTTTCGGCGTTGTCTGCTTCGAATCGGTGTTCCTCTTCGGATCGGTGGTCTTCAGTGTGGGTCTTCCTTGTCTTTGCCATAATGCTATCAATGTCTTCTCAAGTCTCTCGGTTCGGCCCACGCCAAAATGTACTTGTCTGAGGGCACACTCGTAATTTTCTGGTGGGTTGAGGGCCGAACGAGAGCTTCAGGTGGACGCTTCAGAGGGGGGAGGTACCTGCAAAAGGAACTCCGACGCTCAAGTCAAGATAAGCACGATTCTCTAGGATAATAAATAAACAGTGACATACCTCGTTACGTGTGAATTATTTATACTACCTGTCATGGGCCTGAGCATGGTGGGCCTTCTCTGACATTTACCAAATTAGGTAATATGATGTTAATCGGCTAGTTATGTCTTAATTGTGTGTTGTCCCTTATTAATCATGATCGTCATTCCTATTATTCTATCTTTGTTGACCTTTGGCTGAGCTGGTACGGAATGGCCGAGACGTCATCTTCGGCGTTTGGCCGAGCCGATAGGGAAAGGGTATGGTTCTCGGTCCCTTGCCGAGCCGAAGTGATATTTGAGCTGCGTCAATACCTGATAGGACATGACATGCCTGTCCACGTGGCCAATAGGATCTTTCCGGTACAAAAATTAAGCTTTTTAAAAAATGTTTATTTTTAGCTTCTCATTTATATTTCATTGGCCATTTTAATCCCGTCATTAAATTAAATTCTTTAAGTGTTTAACATTTTCAATGAAAAAAATACACCTTGGAACAACATACCAATAATATGACATAAATATACATGACACATTTACAAGAGTGACACATGTCAATTTTATGTCATGTCACGTGCTCCCCTTATATAGCGTCACTTGACACCAATACCATGATATATTTATGTCATGTAATTATTACATGGATGTGTCATATTGACTTGTAATTTTTTTAGATACGGCGACGCTTAATAATTTTAATTTAATGTTAAAGATAAAATTGTGACGAAAATAAATGAAGGACTAAAAATGGACATTCTTTTAAAGAACTGAAAATTGTATTCTAAAATTGTTAAAAGATATATAAAAATAAAAAAACTTATTTAACTCATTTTTAAATATAGAAATTTTGTAATGACAAAATGTCTATTTTGACGTTAGGATATTAAATTATTATTTTTTTATTGAGATGGTTCATCCATAGTCATTTAACATCATGGACGTACTACGAATTGGTTTGTACAAATTAATTCTTTCGAATTTGCTTGCACAAATCAATTCTCTCGAATTTGCGAAGAAGATGAACCAAGAATTTGTTCCACTCATTCCCGTTCTCATTTGTCACATCTCACAAGGCCAATGTCCTTCTATCATTGACTCACCCTTAAAAGTTCTCATCTCCAATAAGATAGTTTACCACCGAGTTAATGATATAAACAAGTTAACTCAATTTGACTCATGGCGTGCTTGGTTTCACATCCGCCACACTTAATTTACGTTAAAAACATGAAAATAAGAAGTAAAAATTTCTTACTTCTACGTTAACGTGGTTTTTGAACGCGGATCCAGACATACAATCACTCTTGAAAAAATTAAAAAAATTTCAATCTAACTCCACTCATCACGGATTGATGAGTTATATAAGTAAGCTCACCAAAATTTTTAAAATAAAAAAATTAAAATAGATAAATTAATGACATGTTTTTATTTTTAATAAATAAAATAGATTTATAAATTTTTCTATCAAAAAATCAAATCTATCAATGATTCAAATACAAATACATGAGAAAATATTAAATAAAATTTCAAATATAATTAAATAAAACATAAATATATAATTTTATTTTATTTTTTTAATTATAAAAAATTAAATAAGTTAATCTGACTCACTTGAACTCAAACTTATTTATTCATAATTAAATAAGTGAAGTTAAAAATCATGTTAACACCTCTAATTCCATAACTCATTACATAAGTCGACTTCATCTCTACCCTTAGATATTACAGTTCAACAATCCTCCCAAACTCATTGTCCAAACAAAATCACACCTTGCGGGCAAGGTTTTTGTCATCCTATTCCTAGGACTTAATGTTAGAGTCCAATAGTGATGGAGAAATTAGGAGGAGAGATTGATGTTCTTCTCCTTTCTTTTGTTTCTCTTCTCCCTTTAAATATTCACTCTAGGCCTCCTCCATCAACCCTTAACAAACAAAATGTATTTGCGACAAAGATGTTACTCAATAATAGCATGGAAAGGATAACAAAGGAATAATCAGGAATTCAAACATGACTAGGGTAAAAAAAAAATAGAACGTTCCACACAAACACTGCAAAAATGAAAGCCCGGCAGGAAACCCACTAAGAGGGCTGCACAAAAGTTAGGGCAAGATCTGCTAGGCAACCCACAATCAAAAAAGGTAACCTAGGCAAAAGTAAGGATCAAAAGAAAATGTCCGCTAGAGAACACATGTCAAGTAACCTAGGCAAAAGTTAGGACGTCAAAGCAGCGACCTGAGTTGAAAACCGAAAGGCGGTTCAGGGGATCATCTAAACAAAGCACAACCCCAAGTCATCACTCCACTTTCCAAAAAGGCTAAAACACAATGATAGCTTCTTTGTAGCAAATATGCTTTGTTTAATAGCCATAAAGACTAAAGCCCACCTTGGCCAGCCATTCTTCTAAAAAACCCTTTTGGAAAAAACATCCATTCTAAAAACCCTTCTGAAAAAAATACAAACATCTCTTCTTTTTTTTTTTCTCTTGACCCTTATGGCATTAAAATGGTACCGAAAATATACACGGAGAATGCACAATGAATACTCATAGAGGAAAAATTGAGATGTCCCCGAACAGAGTTGGGAGACGCTTGACTACACAACAACTGGATAATCAATGAGCCACTAAAAGCTTGGGTTCAAAGGAACACATCCCAACAATAATCAAAAATGGCATGGATAAAAAGGAATCATCATCATTAACCTTAACGCGTACAGGTTAATTTCCCGACATAAAAAAAAAAGAATTGCATTTCTTAGGAACAAACACATGAGCATAAATTGCATCGCATGCATATGAGGTAGGGGCATATGAAAGGGCATTACTAAAAAAAAAGGGAAAAAATAATAAAATCATTCCTGTCTTGCATTTTCATTGCATCTATACAACCATGCATTCTATTTCCTATGGGTCAAAGGAGTCATCAGCACAAGGCACTCGTAAAAGCTAAATAGCCAAGCATGAGCCGAATGGTGTCCAATGGCAACCCTAAGTGATTATATGTGCCCACTAAGCAAAGACATATCAACAGTGGAATAGAATAGAATCAACCAAATAAAAAAGTCTGTAAGCAGAAAGAGGCCATCACACCTCACTTCTCAACCAAATGAAGGATGATTCAGGAAAATGCCAAGATCATGAATGGTTTCCTACCAAAGCCAGGAATGGCTTCCAAAATAATACTTATCAATAAAGATTCAGCGAATAACATCATGGGAATAGATCCCTCCAC